AACACATATCTGAAATATATTCCAGTAAAAATGAATTGCACCTTCTAAGGTGGAAGGGGTCCAATGTAGTCAACTTACCATAAAGTGGCTGATTGATCTACTTGAGTGATAGTGTCAAATCAGGGGTTCAGGTTTCATCTTTCTTGCCAAGGTGAATGGGAGCTCATACTTATGGGTTCATTCATAGCCTCCATCTCTGCCGCCATGACTACTGTGTTCATGAATGAATTATGTAAGCACTGAAGTGGTCAATGACAAAGGCTGGCTGATGTCAACTGGCTGAGTTATCCTATCTATTTGCTTGCTTAGGGCTTGCTCTGTGGTGGACACTTTCTGGTGAGCATTAACATGAGATATAAAGATCTTCATATTTTGTGCCTATAGGTCCATTCACACAGCTCTCCCCCAGCCTATCTTTGTTGTTATAGTCTTTTTCTTTCCAGGCCCCTAACCACTTGGCCAAGCTATTCTCCACTGACTATGAATCAGTTTATATTCTGACCTTGGACCCTTTCTCTTTCCACAAAAAGTGGATAATGCAGTACACTACCTGAAGCTCTGCCCACTGGGAAAATTTTCCCTCACTGCTGTCTTTCAAGGTCATCCCTGAGTGAACTGTAATGCAGCTGAGGTCCATTTTCATCTTGCTCCTACATACCAAGCTGACCCATCCATGAACCACGCTTGGTTTTTCTCTTCCTCTGTCAGCTGGTCATAAGGAAACCTCCCATGCAGCCATAGTATGAACTGAAGGAGAGGTGTCAGTGCAGCAGTGGTATATAACACAGGGACCTAGACCACCTGTTTTGTGCAGCTTACTTATGCTCTCTGGCCTGCTTGTGCCCAATCTCAAATGCACCACTTCCATCTTACAACGGGTTGCTACTGGGCCCATCTGACAGTATGATTTGATAGAGCTGACTGACAGAACCAAGCTCATAATAGACAGTTTTATGGCTGCATAGTCAGGAGGTCCATCTCCACTGGGGCTTAATATCATGTCAAGAGCAATTTTTTCAAAAAGTGTGTAATTCTTCACCACACATGGCAATTGACTGATTTTGCAGTGGTCTACAGTCATCCTTTGGTAGTCAAAAAGAATATCTATTTTATCTCCCTCCCCCCTTTTTTAAATCAAATGAGACCATGCCATGCATACGATTCTATACCTTGCCTTTTGCGCTTTAATATTTCTTAGATCTCTTTCCATGGATGAGTAGCAAGGATATTTCTCAGTATTGTTTATAATAGCACTGAAATGTTAACTATAGGAAATGTTAAGTATAGGAGATTGGTTAAAATTACTGTATGTAACCCAAACAATGGAATTATATGTAGATATTTAGAATTATGCTCTATCTTGGAGTTTGAGGGCATTAACCTGCCCACGTTTGGCAAAAAATTGAAACATACACAGAGAAGGCAGGAAGATGGAGATACAAATATCACCTTCATAATGATAAAACTGTTGAAGATAAAACAGTTTCAGTGTGAGGGCCAAATGGTCTTGCTAGCACTTCCTGTCCCCAACTTCCCCAAGTCTAGACTTTAGGATACCTCATCTAAGTGAAACGTGGGTTGTATAGAGGTGACATACTCAACCAGGTAGAGAGGTCTTAACCTCACATTGGTCTAGGGCAGGGAGGAAAGCACAGGAAGCCTTTCAATAGATTAACAATCAAGAAATGTGCATCAATGGCTGTCACTCCCCAACCGTGCAGGCACCTCATCCCTCTCCAGACTAGGTAACGAGTAAGGGATAGAGCAAGAGGCCAGGATGGTTATTCTAGGGCAGTTCCTCCACACGGAAATATCAGGTGTATTATATTCATATATCTCTTGTCCTTCTAGGTCCATATTTATTATAATGGAAACATAGTCTGTAATATATTTTAAGTATAAAAATATAATTAAACAGTATGCATAATATAATTCCATTTTCATAAAAAGGTATATATATGCTTAAAAACAAATATAAAATTGAGTCATATTATATATGCTATTTTATAATAAACAATATATTAAAATAATCTGGGTGATTTCTTTGTGGTAGAACTTAAATTTTCTTCTTTATATCTTGTAACACTCTATTGCTGCAGTGCCCAGACCCCCTTCCAGTGTATATATCTTCCAGCTGCTGTGAGTATTGGCAACTAAGGGCTCATAGCTGCATTCTTCTCTAGAGAATTGCCCTGGGTCAACAAGAGCCATCTTTCCTGGAAATGTCTGAGAGGTTACAAGTGACCTTCACCACCAGGGAAGACCTGAGTATGAGACTTATAAGGAGATACAAAAGCCTTGCCTCATGGCTCAAGGTGGGATAATTCTGTGGGGCCATTCTTGCTTAGCTGAGGTTTCAGGCTGAGGCTAGACTTGAGCTGAAATCACATCTTTCCTTAGCTTCTTTTCCTGTCTATTATGCTTCCTTCACTTCCTTATAGGGTTCTCCTGAGAGTGCTCCAATAAATTACTTGCACAAGGAGTCAAGTCTCAGCCTCTGCTTCTATAGACCTGATGAATATCTATGGATTTTTGTGAGAAATTTTGTAAACATGAAAAGAAGTTATTTTCAAAATAAAAATCTCATGTGGATGCCAAGATAAAGCATGGCTAGGATTTGGTGCTGGATATTTGTAGCCTGAAAATTCTTGACTTCATTTTCTATAGTACACTAAGCAAAAATTTGTAAAAGCAGGTCATTCACTTTACCACGCAAGAGTCAGATCTCTATTTCTCAATGTAAAGGAAAGTACTGTTACACTGAGAAGAGGAGAAGAGTGGGTGGAAGCTGTGGAAGTGGAGATGGTGAGTGTAGGCCACACTTTTAAGATATTTATGGGCAAAGAAGAGTGAGAAAAATAATTTGGTAGGGTTAAGAGACTTCTTTCTTTAAGTTGGAAGGGTTTTGAGGATGCTTGTAGAAGGGAGTGGAGGGGAGTCAGAGCCAGAAAATAACTGAAAAAATAGGGATAGTTTATGGAACAACATTCCAATGAAGATGAGAAAGGATGGGGTCCTGTATACAGTATGACATGTAGTGTAGTGAAGGAGGGATAAGCTGATAGTAAGGAGGAGGAGGTTAGGATTAGTAAATTTATAGGTAAATCTAGAGGCTGAAGGAAGGCAAGGTGAGACTGCATCCTGTGGCCACTAATCTTTATATGATATATGAATCAATGTTATCAGCCAAATGAAGAGGCAAACAAGAAGTAAGGCTAAGAAATTTTGACTGAATCAGGAACTATGGAGGGTATAGTGGTAGCAGGATGGGTGGGGTTTTAAGAAAAAAGATCTGGTATTCTTTGAAGGATGGGCTTGAGTAGGGTGGGAGTAGAGACAGAACATTTAAGGAAATCCAGAACTAGAGTGGAAATGATGTGAGATGCAAATAGGCATAACAAATTGAATTAACAGACACTGGGACAAAAATATTCTTTGGGGAATTATAATTAAAAAAAATAACAGACTATCTGATCTGTGAAAGATGAAAAAGTAGGAACTGCAATACCACAGTCCCTACCCTTGAAATTAAAATCTGAGAATGGAGCTCCAGAAATTCAAAGCAAGGACAGTGGGAATATCTGGCCTAGTAGACTCTGAAAACAGGTTGAGGTAGAGTGCCATGCCCAGGCAACAGGGCTGGATGGCCAGCCCCAGTCAACAGCTGGGGATGTAGAGGGGCTTCCTGAAGTGACTATAGACCTATGACACATACCTTGAGTGTTATGAATAGTGCTATGAGTTACTCAAGGATTTTGTAAAAATATATCTATATTAATTGCTGATATGGGGCTGTTTGATCAATGACTTAAGGAGAAACATAAGGAAGTATCTAGATGGCCTCTCAAACTCCCTATTAAGACTTCTTTTTCCGTGTAACAGATCCCTTATGAAAAATCGAGGAAAAGTTATGAATCCTCTTCTCAAAAAATGCACAATTAACACACACAAAATATTGTCCATAATTATAGGAGGTCCATAAACTTCTGAAACCCACGTACTCTGAGTTAAGTATTGCTTTCACCTGTCTTTCCTCCCAAGCGGGAGCCCAACTCTCAGTTCTATTTTAGAATATCGTAAGTTGAGTAGATTGGAAACAGCTTCTGGAAGCCGGTGGATTTGGGAGATCAGTAGGTGCTACTACGCATTCTTTTTACTTTGGAAAGTATAAAGACGTGGATAGTGCGACGGAAGATACCACATTCTGGATATTTCAGGAGGCTGTTATGGACACTACAAATAATGGTTTCTGACCGCAGACATAGCTGAATCATTCAGCAAATATTTATAGGGCGCCTGATACGTACAGAGACTGTGCCAGGGACTGAGCTCACCAAGATAAAAAAGACACCATTTGTGTCCTTGATGAGACGATTCACATGTAAAAGCGGAAATGTAGTTATTGGTGGCCTTAAAAAAAGGTCACCTAAGTTTGAGAGGCATGCTGGGGAGATGGAAAGGACTTCGAGCCGGCAATTTGATTTTTGGTTTCTCCACATCATAGACTTGTAAGCTTGGCAAATCATTCAATTTCAAGTTGCCTCATCTATGGTACAGGGTTAACAAGTACACGAGAATTGGTGCAAATCTTCAAAAAGATAACCTTTGTAAAAATGAACGTGGGCAAATGAAAAAACACAAGTACAAGGCTTATTTAAAATGACAGCTGGGAGGGTCGCCCCTTGAGGGAAGAGCTCGGCTCTTCCAAGTCTCTATAGCCACCGCGGCGCCTCGCACGCGGCCAGAATCACCTCAATAAGCTTTCCGGGATGGATCAAGTTCCGCTTCCGCAAGCAGATTTTCGCCGTAGGCCAGAGCTCCCGGACGCCCAACGCAGGCTAGCGGCAGACCTCCCTCACGCGCATGCTCCGAGGAGAGGCGGAGAGAGGAAGTGCGGGGGAGTGGCGAGGCGCCGCGGACCGCCGGCTCGCTCACCCTGCAGACCCGCGCGGGAGGCGGGGGCGCGCGCGCGCTCGTTCGCGCGCCGGGCTGCGTACAGTAGTGACGGCCGCGCGGGAGCGGTCACGTGACCGTAGCGGCTGCCTGTACAGTAAGGACCCAATATGGCAGCGGCGGTAGCAGTGGCAACGGCAGCAGGAGGACCGGCCGCCTCATAGACCCCCCCGCGCACTACCCCCGCCGCTTCCTCTGTTTGGGTGCTCCTCCGGCCTGACTTCCCCTTTCTCCCACCTTTCCCGGCACCGCGGGAAAAGCAGCGCAGGGCAGAGCAGGCAGGGAGGGCGGCCGGAGCCCGGACACGGGAACCTCCCAGTCAGTTCAAGACCCGACATGAGGGAAAAGGGCCGTAGGAAGAAGGGCAGGACCTGGGCGGAGGCCGCCAAGACGGTAAGGGGGAGGGAGCGAAGGGGAAGGCCGGGAGGATTTCGTCCCCTCGCCGCCCGCCGGTCGCAGGGGAAGGGAGGTCATTGGCCCAGCGACCCGGCTGAGGGGGCACAAAACCGCGCGGAGAGGGCGGCGGTTAGTGTCGGTGTTGTGATCCCTGTAGGAATGGAGGCGCTCAGCGGAAGAGGGTCGCTGCGGGGCTGCCGCTTCTCCCTGCGTCTGCGACGAGTCCTCCCGGTGTTTCGAAGCTGCTTCTTGGGGTCACGTCGCTCTCACCCCCACTCTGTGGGAGCCCCCGCCCCGGCATGGGGAAGTCTGTTGTGCTTGCACAGTAACCGGTTCTTCTCCCTTGTGCGGCTGAAGAGCCCCCATTGGATGCAGATAGGAAAAGGCTTGTGCGTGCACCCAGCCCCGGAAAGAAGAGGGGAGCGCTGGAGCTTGGTAGAATTTACCGCTAGAGCCGACCTGTCGCCTGTCCCCGGGGCCCTCTGCTAGTCTGGGCTCCCGGATCCGACGTGAGGTCACGAGGCTCTTGTTTTTGTTTGCTGTTGGAGCTGAAAGTGCAGGAGGTGTTTAGAAACGAAGTAACAGGTGGGACTTGTAGATTTTTTTTTTTTTTTTCTGTTTCCGTAGAGACCTACTCTGAACAAGGCAGCAATGCATGGTGGGACGTGTAGTTTACCCGGCTTTGACTTTTCCGTAGCTAAAGTGATGGTGGCTTCACGAAGTTGTAACTAGTGGGGAATACCATCTTTTTCTTTCTAATTTTGTTATAAGGAAATCTAGAGATAGGTTTTAAAAAACGGACTATTTAGGATTAGTAGGAACTTGATTATATTTTGTGAAAAAAAATTACAAATGTGTATGTGTGTAGAAATGAAACGTTAGGAGAAAGTGAGGTTCATTCCATCTTTGAGGGTGCAGCAGAAAAGTAATAGGACCTAGAACAGCAGCATTTTAGTGTGGGGAAGTGAGGAGATGTGAGGCATTATCTTTGGTGGTGAATCATGTCAGTAATGTTTGTACAACATGGAGAACCCTTCTAAGTGAACCTTTATTGTACGTTGTATGGTTTGTTTTTTAATGAGATTTTTCTGAATATAAAAGTAATAAATGTTCACCGTGGGAAAATTTGGAAATAGAAACGTATAAAGAAGAAAATAAAAAATCATGTGTTTCACCCCCTCAGAGCTGTTAACATCTTGGTATATTACTGTCCAGTCTTTTTTATTTATTTCTCCAAATCTAGGTCCTACTGTTTATTCACTCTTGTGCATTTGTGTGTAAACCTTGTGCATTTGTTTTGTAAACGTTATGCGTTAGGGGGTTGATGAGTCTTAAACTTGTATTTTTGATTTAGTTGGAAATGTGAAAAAGTGAATAAATAATGGCACATTTTATATATTAAGTGTTTTCACTTACAGTATATCTTCATAATTGTGACTGCTGGTCGTTTTCCTCTAAAAGATAAAACTCTAGAAATATTTTGTTTGGTGGTAGGAAAATTGCTCCTTCACAGAAGACTGTTTTACTTTCTTCTACTTGATAAATACCTCAAGACCTCTTCCTTTTATTCAAAGAAGGATGGTAAATTTTAATTATAGGTAAGCAGACCCCAACTCTAATAATGTTAATTAATTTTAAGTCTCTAGAATCTTAGGAGTACTTTTTGAATTTTGATCTCTTTGGATAAGATAGTCTAATCATTGGGAGACTGCAAATAGGAAAAATTGATCTGCATCTACTGTTTAGATTTTCCTATAATGAATTAGTATGTTTGCTCATTTGTAGTAAACATTTTATGCCCTTGCTAGCTGTGTCAAAAATAGTATTTAAAAGCTGGAAAGACTAGTTTGAGTTCTGAGTGAGTTCCTGAATCCATCAGTATATTAGTGGCTTGGTATTTTTATTTGATTCTGGCAAATGTATAAGGCCTCAGTCTAAGTAAAAATGAATTTTAGAGAATGGTGACACTAAAACTTTTTTCATTTTTCTAGTAGCCAGAAATCTAGAAAACACTCTACTCTTTTTCATTTATCATCTATAAAGTGAGGCATTAAACTAAACCTCAGTGTTCAAAAGGTTTCTCTTTGTAGGAGGAATAGATAGAAGTACATGTAGGAGGAATGGACAAAAGTAAATCTTTAATATTTCAGGCTGCAGAATAATGAGATCAGGGGCTGGCCCGGTGGTGCAGCGGTTAAGTGTGCGCGCTCCGCTTTGGCGGCCTGGGGTTTGCAGGTTCGGATCCCTGGCGTGCACTGACACACCGCTTGTCAGGCCATGCTGTGGCGGCATCCCATATAAAGTAGAGGAAGATGGGTACAGGTGTTAGCCCTGGTCTTCCTCAGCAAAAAGAGGAGGATTGGCATTGGATCTTAGCTCAGGGCTGATCTTCCTCACAAAAAAGGAAAAAAAGAAAGAAGAATGAAATCAGAAAATTAGTGATTTGACAAATGGAAGTAACTTTGACCTAAATTAAGAAATGGTGCATGTATTTATTTATAAGATCAAGAGGACTAGGAGAAGTAAATTTTAAACTTATTTCATAGGCATTAAGGTCAGATGTTCTAGGAACAGAGTTCCAGCAAGGGAATAAGAAAATTATTTACGAATACAAGTAGTATCTACTCCTTATTTCATTGTGTTCTTGGTACCTGCATTGTAGAGCTATCCTGTTCTAGGGAGCACTATTGAAATGGGATTGTATTCCTGACCAATAAGATAGCAACAGATAAATAAAATTATTCAATCAATTATATATGTATGTATACATATATAACAAGGGGTGTGTATATGTGAGAGCTACACGGTTGATGTAAAGTTGCTGTGAACAATCTGAAAAAGCAAAATTATGAGATTCATAATTATTGTATAGTAGTAAAATTATGCCAAAAGGCTGATTAAATGTAGAGTGTAGACAGGTTTCCGTAAGTAAGGACACCAGAGAGAGGGATAATGGAGCTGAGATTCACCTGAACGTGAATGCTCATTTACTTACACTGGAGTGTCTCCCTACTGATCATATATTTGTCCTATATAAATATACTAGTTATAAAAAGCATTATTCAGGTATTTAGTTAACAGTCTCACATGTTTTAAATTTTAAGGGTGGCAGTGATGATGGTGATGAAATGATTTGGATGAGAGATCTGTCGTATAGAGTTTGGTGCAATTTAAATAGAAAAATTTGTAGTAAGCCAGATTGAGAACCATTACATTGACTTGAGAACTATGTTCAAAATTATACTCATTAAAAAAAAAAAAAAAGACATTGTATTATCTAAATATTTGGTGACATTCCTGAGGAATTTAACTGTTTCTGCAAGGTAGAGCTTTCAAAATAGTATAATCTTATTGATCCTGTTTTCTTTTTGACTTTTCCCTTGTCACCCACCACAACTAGGGAAGCATTAAAAGAGAAAAATGCCCTAAAAGGATAAGTTTGTTGTGATTGTAGGTGGAAGGGACAGAGAGGCAGACCTTAGAGGTTGTATACTAGAGGTGCCTTTCGGGCATAAAGTGGTCGAAGTATGCGAAGTGAAGTATGGATATTAGAGATGAGGAGCACAGCAGTGTATAATGTAGATCTTTAGCATATGATTTGTAGACTGAAGAAAAAATGGTGTTTTTTTTTTGGATGTTTCTGTATAGATTTCATTTAGTGGTTAATATTTCCAATGTACATGGGTTTTTATTTTTGTCATTTACCTAAAGTCATTTAACTTTGGGGAATAAGATGGTAGGTAGAAAATTTCTATTAAAGGAGTAACACTCATAGGCTAGTTACTTTTACATAGAAAGTATAGAAAATGGAAAATAATACTTAAAAGTATTAAGATTAAAGAGATGTTCAGAAAAACATTTTAACAAAATGCACTTCAGAAAAAACAGATGTATTAACTTAGAAATTTTCAGTACTCTTAATCTTTACTGTGAGTAATTTTTTTCTTAAAAAATAACGGTAGGAGTATGGCTAGGCCTGGTTATGTCACCTTGGATATATATTGATCAGGCCAGAGTCCTTTAAGTCTGTATTTGTATTATATTTATAGTTTTTTTAAGAATCTCCAGGGGAGAGTATGCATCTTGGACAAACATATTAAACAAACGTATTGTTTTTATAATATAGACCATAGAAAGTAAAACTGGGCAAAATCTTCTTGGCTTGTGGAATACGTAAAAAATAGAGTGAGAAAGCATTGTAAAGGGGCATGGGTTAAAAATTGAGAAACTGCTCTGATCCATAATGTCAAAACAATAACTGCATATTTACATTTATTTTTTATTTCATCTTTCTTGAGGTATAATTGACATAAAATCATACGATATTTGATATGCTTATGAAATTGCTATCTGCAGGTCTAGTTGTGCTAGGTGATTTGGTGTAACACTCTTTGGCTGAGTGATCTTACTTCTTGCCATAATATTGAAGCAAAGATCCCATGTTTTGCTTCTTGAACTTTGTATTATTATTTCCAGTTCATCCTTCTGTCTTGTTTCATCTTCCTGTATTGAAAGCCTCCAAGCCTCCTAACTTGTTGAAGGGAAAAAAATCAAAATCTTTTTTGAACACGTAAGTTAAAAATTTCTGTGAAAGGTACTGTTGCTGTATCTCCTAGAATTCTAACAGGAGCTCAGAAAATAACCTCAGGCTTGTGGAAGTCCGTGCTGTGTCCTCATCCACAGAATCCATCGACTCGTAAAAGGCTGTGCAATTTTGCTATCAGTGAAAGGGCATTATGTTTTCACTACAAAAGCTATCTGGAAGGAGGCCGGTGTGTGGAAGATATAACTGCAGGGAACTGATCAGTAAGGTTTGTTAAAACCTGCTATCTTTGTCCTTTTTACAAAAGACCTCTGAATGCCTCTCTAGTTCTGTCTTCTTTCTTCCCATATCTCAGAGAGGCCATCCTCATAGTTTATAGCATTGTGCAGTTTAGTCTGTTTAGTGCAGTTTGATTTATCATGTTTTTAGTGTTGTTTTAAAAGGTTATTGAATA